GTGAAGGCAACAATTAAAAATAAAAAAGTGATAGATAACAACTGGAAAAAGAGAAAAGTAAAATAATGGGTAAAACTATTCATAATTCAGGGAGAAAAATCTATAGAGAACAAGGTTAAAGACAGTAACAGTAAGTATATTAGAAACAAAAAGAAGTCCTAGTAATGATGCAGGCCCATTACTAGGACAGAATAACACAGCTAATAATGATAGAAAAAAGGCAGAACTCTCCATAGGTATTCAATAAGTATTTTCAATCTGTTTTTGGAAGAAAAACTGCTGATGTGCTTCTATCATGAGGCTGTGTGATAAATTTCAAGAATCATAAAATTGTGGTAAGAATATCTCACTCTAGGCTGCAGTAAACTAATTTACAAGTACCATCCTGCTGCAGAGTAAAAGACTCTGAAGCAGCACATGTGTAGACCCCGTCCGGGCTGGCTGGTGCATGAGGGTGCTTCAGTGTGGGGGCTGCCTAACAGCTAGCCATGTGCTGAGGCTCCCTCATGCCCCAGTCAGACCCTCTACCAGCCAGGGCTGCTCCAACCTGGCTCCACATGCTGTGCATGAATAAGCTCCGGAGCCGATTGCTCTGGAGTTGCTTGCTTCTGGGAGCACATTCAAACAGTGTGCCTAGGAGCAAAAAAAATCTCTGGAGCAATGAGCTCCAGTTTATTCATGTGCACTAACTGCACATGTAGACACATCTACAGTCCATAAGCTTTTGGAGGGGGCTGGGGGGGCACAGAAGGGAGGAAAGAGGGGAAGAGAGGGAGAATATGAATGAATGAATGAATTGGAGGCTGTTTTAGATTATGAGACCAGCCCAGTTTAAAGAAAGTTAATCATGAAAAGGAGAGATATTCAAAGGAAAAGCCATGAGAAGCAGAAGAATGCTGGACACAGAGGCCTAAAGAATATTTAAATTGATCTAAGCTAACTAAAATCCTCTTAGTCTGTGGCATGAATCTACTTATTTAAAAAAAAATAAAAAAAATCAAAAGGACAACAATCTACAGTATCACCTAAAAACTGGGTTCAAATCATATCCAGTTATGGAAGAAGATTGTGGCAACCTGTGGAGCCATTGCATCTGGCCCACAGGGCTCTCCATAGGTCCAAAAATTTGGCAGTAGCGGACTGGTGGTCATTAATATGTCCACCTTCCCCCTGCCAAAACAAACTCCGTTCGCTGCACAGCCAGTCAGAGCCGGCCACATCCCCTTCTCTCCCCCATGGAGCCAGGTTGGGGTCTGGCCACAATCTCTCCACAGGGCAAGGCCACGTTCCCTTCCCCTCTCTGTGGGGCTGGGTTGGTGGCCTGGCCGTGCCTTCTTCCCTCCTGCTGGGGCTGAGTCACACTCCCTTCTCCCCAAAGAGCCAGGCTGGGGCCTGGTCATGTCCCTTCCCTCTGTGCAGGGCTGGGTTGGGGCCTGGCCACACCCCTGTCCCTCTGTGGGGCCAGGTCAAGCTCCTTTCCCCTGCCAAGCTATGTTGGGGCCGGCCTGCTCCCTCCCCCTCTTTCCCCCCATGCAGGCAGATGGTGCCTGCCATGCTCTCCTGGGTGCCAGACTGGGAGCACTAGCTGGATCCGGCCCCTTGGATAGACCTGGCACTGCTAATCTGGCCTGCTGGGCAAGGAGGTTGGGCACCACTGATATAATACATATGTAAGCCAAGTTGGTACAAGTTTACCAGGCCTTGCAGTAGATAAAAGTGTTGCTCTGCCCATGTTTTAGCTGTTTTTCCCTCTGTTCTTGTGTGCATTTTTCTTAGTTTCTCTCAAGGTACAGGATTGCTGTACAATGACAGCTACACACCCAGATCCAGCCATTCTCAACTAACTGTCTCTTTTCCCCAAGAAAAGACAGTTATACTACCTTTATGCTTTAAAAGACTGTCAACTATGGGTTTTTTTTGTCTAATAAACAATGCCATCATAAAAAAGGGAGTAAGGAATATTATTCAAATAAAAGCCATATGAACAATGTATTATGGAGTAAAAGGGAGAATGGATTTACCTTCAGCTGCTCTGTAATAATTGTATGCTTTCATCCCATGAAATATGGAAGCTAAACCATAAACTTTCCCCTCTTTCACTGAGGGCTAAGCTACTTTCGTTTAAACTTCTATTAGTCATAGGGTAAGAACATGTACTCAGGCCATTACCACAGAGCAACTGATGCACAGAAAATTGCCACCCCTATTTACTCCCTAGTAAAACTGTTCACTAATTTTAAGGGCCACGTGCCTCATGACAGCAGAAGACAGAGTTCATACAAAAGTGTAACAGATGTTAGCCAGATGAGACTCAGAAAATCTTAACACTATATGGGTCCAGTTTGGTGAAAAACAAATACAGCACCCTGGTGAGTGTCCAGCTTCACCTTGGCTACATGACAGTATGAAGAAGTATTTTCAATAGATAAGTAACTGAAGAACATCTATCAGGAATAGACACTTCAGATAACTAGGCCCAGATAACTTGCACCAAAGTCTTAAAATATCATTCTAATACATTTTTGGATTACTAGGAAAATTTCTAAAGATGGAAGAGCATTAACACTGTGTCAATCTTTAATAAATTATTTATATTCTCCCTCTTCTTCTAGAGGCCAGTTATATTGATAGCAATCCTGAACAAATTAAATAGAAAATCAGATTCAATCAATAAAGAACTGCAGGGAAGGGATAATTAATGCCAACATGGTCTGATAGAAATAAACCTGATTTCAAGTTGGGTTGATTAGGCAAGTTTGACTTAGTTCCTTGGTACACTGTGATTAAAAAATAGCACTATACAATAACAATAGAGCATGCATTGAATGGATTAAGAACTTGTTTTCTAACAGATCTCAGAAAGTAGCCATTGTTGGTGTATCATCACTGAACACCGGTCTTGAAAGTAGGGTTGTGGTAGACCCAGCACCCAACAGTTTTGTCACCCAACAGTTTTGTAAATGACATGGAAACAAATACAAAAATGATGTCTGATAAAATATGCAAATGATACAAAGATATATAGAATGATATATAATAATGAGGATAGGGCAATCATACAATGGTATCTAGATGATTTGGTAAGCTAGGCTCATTCTAGCAAGTTGTATTTTATTACTACCAAATAACAGTACACATCTAGGACCAAGGAATCCAGACCATATTGATAGAGAATGGAGACTTCATCCTGGGAAATAGAAACAACATGAGTTCCCAATAAAATGCTGTTGCAAATAAACAAACAAACAACAGCTAATGTGATCCTTGGAGGTACATAGAGAAGACTAATGAACAGGAGAGAAGAGGGGTAATTTTACCTGTATAAAAAGCAGTGGTGAGATCAATATTGCTGTTTCACCTTCCAGAAGAAGCAATCCAGAATATTGGTCTAAAATGCTGTGGGTTCTTTTTCTATGTGTATACCATTAAGTAGTAATGAAAAACTGCCTTTACTGCTATACTGCCTCTTTTGTGGAGTCTCATGAAAATCAATTCTCTGTCTTGTCCTATTCAGCATCTATACGTAGCCATTGTAAGAACTTGTTGAATATGGGCTCAAATGCTGGCTCTATGAAGACGATTCTCAGCTCAACCTCTACATTATATATGATTATATTATTATCACCTAAGTAGTCCAGTGTTCAGATTACAACAACAGAGGCATGGAAAACAGCTGGCCGAAGCTGAATCCAACCAAGAGAAACGTTATGGAGGTTGGCAGAGGAAAGCATTCTGAAGAGTTTGCATCTAAGAGGAAGCCTCTATTGACTGAAGGTGCCAGCCAAAAGCTGCCTATTGAAGTTTGCAGCTTGTGTACTCCCGGGCTCTTCACCCACACTAAATTATCACCTAGCAATATCAGGGAGTAATGTTGTCTAATGTATCTGATTGCTTAGGATACCAGGAGACTTAAAACCATCCAAGATTGGCTGAAGTTATTCTCGACAATATCACTTTTAGGTTGGATAACAATACAATATACTTGAGCATGAAGCCTTCAGTGCTCAAGAAACTCCTGTTGGAACTTTCTCTACGTCTTCTTATAGACACTTGCCACTGTATAAATAAAACAAAACCTCACAAACAATCAATCCTCTTTGTTCCTTCATATATATTCCTTAGATTTTGAATCAAATTCAAGGTCTTTGCCCTTAATTTCATGATGCCCAATGGCTTGTGTTCAGGCCATGCATTAGATTTTCTAAAGACATATAGTATTCTTCACTTATAGGGCACACTCGAACTTTCTAAGATAAGGGTACAGCTGCAAAACTCTTCTATGGAGGAAACAGGTAAGCTTCTGAAAGAGCTCCAAGTGAAGTGAACTTTCATAGGAACAAAAAACTATAAAAAAAAAAACCTTACCACCTTTCCGTTTAATTGAAGGGCACTTTTTTGACAGAGTAACTCCCTCTCTCTCTCATATGTATAAAAAAATACAAAATTAAATATTCTATTGCATATGATTCTCCCTTGAGGAAAGGATGCAAGAAAAAACATGTGACAGATGATAATCAACTTGATACTGGAAAGAGCTCAGATACCTGAGTGGTGATCCTTGTATAAGAAACTGCGTACAACACTATAGAGTATACCAAATATGGATTGTTCTGTATACATGCGACATGGCATCCTATGTAGTACACTCTCATGAAAAACAAACACCACTTTACTATGAAAAAAAAAAGAAATTTATTCTTGTTTGTGTCAGTGCACCAAAAAAAAAAAAAGACATTAGTGTACTTCTTATGAATGTACCTCAAAACCCCAATTTTGCTGCATTCTAACCTCAGACATTTTAAAGAAAATCATAGACTCCAAATCATTTGTACTTCCCCTTTTCATGCTGATAGTCATTCCAGAAAGGAGAGGATACTGGATATTACAGATCTATGTGTTTCAGCCAGGAGCTTCTTCACTAGTAATTACTAACAAATATGAAGCCTGCTTGTAATTCTAAAGGGTTTGGGATGTTCTTATATTTCCCCATTTGTTTCACTCATAACTTTTACATTCTCTTTTTAGTCAAACTCCTAAAAGTATCAGATAAAACACAGGACACTTAATTTAGAAAATACAGTCTGCCTGAATGTATACAAAGCTATGCATCAGTTGTTAATCCTTTGGGGAACTGGACTCCCTTTCCTCAATTTCTCTCTTCAAACTTATCTGCTTCACATATACCCAGCCAAAATTCAAAAGTATTCTTGAGTCACTTATTTGTATTTTTTTTACACTAACCATTTTAATAAGAAGAACACATCAAATTAGTTTAGGTTAATGATATTCATAAAGACATAAGAATATACTGAATTTTGAGACTAAATACTGTACACCTAAATTTACCTACCCTTTTAAGTTTTACTATGGTCCCATAACTTTTCAGAGGTTCAACAACTTTGGCTTCAAGCCTTTCAACCTATAAAAAAAGTCAAAGAATCATTTAAGTCCTTCATACATTAAATGCACAGACCTATTTATTTACTTATTAGGTTTATATCCTGTTCTTTCTAAAAGGCTCAGAGCAGCTTACAATAAACAATCCACTTACGTATAAACAGAAAGAAAGATTATGCAAAATGTTGATTCTATTTTACAAGAAGTTTAATCCATAATCACTGAAGGCAGAGGTTTTAAGCCTTTTGCAAAATCAAAACCAGAAACGCTGAACAAAAAGTGATTTGTACCTGAAGAGATGGGTTTAACTTATTCCTGGTGTAAATTCTTTCACTTCAGTGGCACTAAATCGGGATGAATCAGGCCTGGGAATTGTTACTGGATATACGTGCAATGTTAAATCTCAAATTCTACAACTCTTTTTTTAAGAACTGAAAAAGGAAATCTATTTCTTTTAAATGTATTTGGTAGATTATTCAACTATGCTTTCCCCTGAGCAATTTAAGAGATTTATTGAAAGGCATGGAAACAGCAAACTATGTAATGAATATACCAAAACTATTGTGCTAATACTATTTAATGAATTAACAGATACTTATATTTGTGATGTTTTAAACCTGTCTACAGAGGAAAACAGCTGAAAATGGGTAGGTATGTAATGGATTAAGACTTCTGCTTGTCAAACAGTAATTTTGTCTGATTTATTAACTTTTCCTCTTATTTCTCCATCTGTTTATTTGATTTCCCCATGAGCTCTTCAGGATAAGACCTGTCTTATCCAAATGTCTGTAACAAAGCATACTAGAACCTGGTCACTGGGCACGTCTACATGAGACGCTACATCGTTGTAGCTCGTGCTGTGGCGATACAGCATTGCCAGGCACAAACCATGACAATGATGCTACTGTGAGGTAGCAGCTAAAAATAACCATGCGGTGACAGGACTGGGCAGTAACACTGGCAAGTACTAAATGACTGCACAGTAACAACTGTGCAGCCAGCCGCTTGTGTAGACATATCTACTAAGTGGTACCCATTATAATAAAATATATCTGCTAGCAGCAAATTCCTGGGCCGTCGTATTTATTCCCTCATTTACAGTGACATTTTTCGTCAGACCATATTTGCTTCTAACATATCCTTAACTTTGACGCAGTCGCATAACTAAGGTGGGATGATGATGGCAGCTGCCCTGGAGAGGTTGCAGGGGGCAGTGGAAAAAAAACCGGCCACCCCAGCACCCATGCAATTGTGGCGGGAGCCGCCCGAAGCCCCCACTGCGCGGTGGGCCGCCGCCAAAAAGCCACCACTGCTCTGTGTGGCAGCTTTTTTAGGCACCCAGCCATGTCATTACATCTCTGGTTTGATGGAACACGTTAACATTTCAAGTAAAATAAAAAGAGTGTATTGTATGCAGCCGAGTTCCAACTCCATGGCAGTCCAGACAGAGATCAAGTTAAAATAAAAATATGACCAGCAATTTTAAAAAAAAGATATCACAGAAACAAGATATACTGAGAAATCCCATGGCAATTAATAGTGCACAACGCTTAAAATGAAATAAAAACTGCTTACTAGCCATGTGACCCAGATTTGATACTATCAATCATCTCAACAGTTCCAGATTAAAATCTGATATGATTTAAATATACATTGGTAACCAGACCTTCTAGAACAGAAAATGTTTAACCTGATCTTTACAGATCTGAATCCTATCTTCTCTAACTTTGTCTCTGAAATTTTCCTTTCATTCTTCCCCTTTTCCACTCAAAAGAAACAAGATGTAAAACTTGAGACCTTCAATACTCCCTTATGAAAATGTTTAAAAACTGAAGGGCTATTTTTATCTTGTTTTTCTACTGCTTTTATGAAGTAAAAGAACTTTAGTACCTGGAACTGTAGTTAAAGAAAGAAACCAGTAGACCTTACAAGGAAATGTCACTTTCTAGTACTGTTATTATATAAGAAAGCTGCTGTTTAAACTGATCACCAAAATAAGGGAAATTGAGATTATCATCTGATTTTTTCATGCAGAGATGGAAATTACTTAACTACTCTTGGATTCCTTTTCTTTGGTTTCCTTTATCTATTTGATATTTGTTTTGCCCTGCATCTCCTCAGTTAACTATGGGAATAATGGAAACTTATTTGAATGGAAGAAAAATTATTCTAAGGACTAACTACTAAGGGCATTTCTGAAGATCCCAAAAGATGTCTAGACATAAAGTCTTCATTGAAATAATGGATTTATAGAGTTTAAGGCCAGAAGAGATCATTACATCATCAAGACTGACCTTCTGTCTATCACAGGCCATTATATTTCACTGTATTTCATTTACCACTGTATTGAGTGCATTCATTTATGTTTGGCTCAGTGTAAGCAAGTCACCTACACACTTATGGAAATCCCAGTAGATATCCATCTACATCTTTAGGTTTTAAGTATCATTAAAAATATGTCCTAGATACATTGTGAAAGGACCATATATAGCATTTGCATTACCAGTTCCTTTTAGTGAATAATAAGAACCAAACATCTGAAACCTAAACTTAAAAAAAAAGAATTGGTGCTGTATAAAGACAGCTTGAAAGGTTTCCTTTAAAAAAGGTTTTTCCCCTCTAATTGTTTTTTTATAAACATCAACGATATCAACTAACAGATTCCTCTTTCTAACTAAAGTGCTTCTTGGTGTTTCAAGTAAGTGAAGTGAATGGTTTCTGAGCCCTCTAGTGAAGGGACAAGGATACCCTTAAAAAAAGTGTTTTCATTAAATAGGCATTAAAACAAAACAGTACGTGCAAGACTATCTGAATAAAAATCATTTCCACATTCAATTAGGCCTCAATTCTTCAGTCCAATATGCAAAAGTGGACTTTTCAACAGATATAGACTCACTGATGTCAGTGGAGCCCTAGGCTAACGCACAACTGAAGACCTTAGTTAGGTTTCTTATTCTTGATATGGTTGGTGTTATAAACCTACTTCTTTTCCAGGTTTCTATATATTTAAAAAATAGCAAAAGAAAAATTACTTAAAAGCATATCTGGACCTTCTCTGTGCTATAAGGAACAGGGGTATGTCCAAAAGAAAGCAACTCTTATGTTGCAGTTCACCTTTAACACAACAGTAGTTTTGTTTAGGGTGAATTTATGTAAATGAAACAATATGATCTAGTGAAATATAGTCTGATTAGCACAGTTTTGAACTAGGACCTGGATCCTGAAAAATAAGGATGTTTAAACTTTATACACGCATGTTATCCCACTGACACCAATGTGACCATTCACATGTGCACAATTAACCTGCCTAATTCTTTGCCCCGAATCACTGGAATTTTGTTGCTTTCAAACAACAAAGCAATTTGGCATTTTAAAAACCCCCTAATGAATACGAATTAGGGATGCACTGATAAAGAGTTTTTGGGACAATACTGATTATCAGGGATCCGAGTTTCCTGATTTAAAAAAAATCCCTAATTTTCAGATTTAAAAAAGTAACCCCAAATCCACATTTTTCTGTGATTAAGATGAAACACCACTATGTATCTATCTATTAGTGGTGTTTCATTTTAATCATGCAAAAATGTGGACTGCCGGTTACTTTTTTAAATCTGAAAATTAGGGATATTGTTTTATCAGAGAAAACCAGGATCCTTGCTGATTATTAACAAGCTATATCGGCCGACATGGATCCCATTGCCCACATGCAGCCCAGCAGCTTGGAAAGCAGTGCCGGTTGGTAAGTCTGCTGTGGGGGAAGGGGTGTGGGAAGGGAAGGGGAGTGGTGGGGATGGGACAGCTTGAGGGGGACAGATAGAGGCCCCTGTGGCGAGGGAGGGAGTGGGGCTGGTGCTGTTCAGCCGGGGTGGGGCGGGGCTGGGCAGGACGGGATGGAGTCACAAGCAGCATGTCCAGAGAGTGCAGGGGCTGGCACCTGTGGGAGCCATGGGGTGGGGGTAGGGCATGTGCCCACCAGATCTCTGCATGGGGTGAGGGCAGGTTGCCCACTGCAAGCTGGGGCTAGTGTCAGTGCTGGGCTCTTCCCAGAGGTGGATTTGGGCCGGGGCTGCGCTGGGGGCATATGGCAGTGTGGCAGGGGGAGCAGGCAGTGTTGCTGTGGGAGCAGGTAAAGAGGCTACAGTCATCCCAAAATTTGCCATAGCTCTCCTCCCCGTGCTGCCGGTGCCCACCCTGAGCACAGCCCCAGCCTAGCGCCCCTGCCAGGAAGAGCCCGGTGCCATCCCCGGCTCCAGCCCGCAGCGGCAGCCCACCTTCACCCCACACACAGATCTGGGGGCCACACACCCCAATGGCTCCCCCAGTGGTGTGCATAGTGGCAGGAACCACCCCCCTCTCCGCGCCCCCCGGATGAGCCGCTCGTAACTCTGTCCTGTGCCCCAGCTGTGCAGTGCCTGCCCCTGCCCCAGCCCCACTCCCTCCCCTACCACAGGGGCCTCGCTTTGCCTCCTCCACACACCTTCCCCCTCCCCCTCAGACTTACCAGCAGTACTCTGCTCTGCAAGCTGCTGAGTGGCTACATGCATGCTGTGACTGTGCGCATGCACATGGCATTTATTGGGAACATTATTGGCCACATCAGCCAAAAAAAGCCAATTGTCAATAATGTCAATTTTCCTTTTATTGGTGCTGATATGATATGGACTGATGTATCGGTGTACTTCTAATACAAATGTCCTGATCAACAGTCTCTCTTAAAAGGATGACTGATTGTCATCTTAGATACTTGCTAGATGGCTCAAGTCACAAAACCAAGATGCATATTTTATTAAATGTAACCTATGACCTAATAATATCCAGTGACTTCATCTCTCCCCTCCACTGAAGATGCAACTCTCATACTGTAAACATACATGTGAGTAGTTTCACTGATTTTAGTGAGACTATTCACAACACATGCTACTGGGGCTTAAGCCTCTAGTGAGGTAATTTGCAGGACAAACTGTGAAAAGTTTGGGGCTTATTTGGCTATATTATTAATAGGCTTAATGTTTTAGCTTGGACAACCAAAAAAGGTACATGCCATAACTAGGGACCTACTCAAATCACGATTGTACAGATTTCACAGAAATTACAAAATCAGGTGATCTCTGAGAAATCCGCTGGGGGAAAATAAAAACTTACTAAAAATAAGAAGCTGATTCCCCAGTGTGAACCAGTAGTCCTCCTGGCCATACAGCCTGGCACAAAAGGGGCTGCCAGCACAGATAAAATGGCTGTTACCCCTGCCCCTCACCACAGATTGGCTGAGGGCTACCTATTATACAGCCCTACCCTTTTCCACCAATCAGTGGTAAGGGATGGGGCCTCATGATGGACAGCCCTCTGAATCAAATCAACAGCAGGTGGTGGGTTCCCTTGGTCAGAGGTGTGGGAGGGGGGAGGAAGAGGCCCTGCCATAATAAGCCCTTGAAAATGGGGGCCAGTCTCACAATTTGCCCACAAAAATCAGCTGGCTGTCATCTTGAGTTGAGTAGACCCCTAGTCATAACAAAAGCAACAGAAAATTTGCAAGCACAACATAGAACTTAAATTTTATACCTCTGCCTGTCGATAATCTTGAAGTTTGGCAAATTCATCTGCAAAATTTTTCAACCCAACTCTTAAATTTGGTGTCTCTGTAGCTGCATATGCATATATTTCGTTTACCAGCAGGTCTGCTTTGTCTCGTAGTCTGGCAGTTTTACGTACATATGCAGCAAATATTTGGCACAATTCACCAAAATGTTTTTCCACATTTGAAACAGCATCTCGTATTTGTCTCGTCTGATTGTCTCTAGAGAATAAAGAAAAACACAAGTGATGAGAAGCAAAAAGTAAATAAAACAAAAGCTATAACTAATGTAAATGAGAAAGTTAAATAGTACTACTATTATAAATGAATAATTCTAGTTTTAAAATGCTGTACTACTATAGTGCACTTTGTCTTTCACATTTAAATTTAACATTCTGATGTAATGTCTGCTTGCCTAAAAACTATGAATGAAATAATAAAATTATCAGACATTTATGCCCAAGATCGTAAAACCAAGTTTTTAAGTAAAAATGCAGTAAATGAAGACCCAAAGCAGATTCTTTTACATACTTGAGAACGTTCTCACAAAAACCATTCTTCCTCTAGTTATAAGATATATTATTATTGGCAATAATTATCATTAGTATTGCAGTAATACAGTGGTTCCCAAACTGTGGTACATGTAGCACCAATGGTATGCAGACGACCTGGAAGTGGTACTCAGAAGGCCAGGAAAAGGGGCTGCACACACCCAGAGCCCAGCAGCAGCCTGCTCCACACAGCTTGCTGCACACGGCCAGGAAAACAGCACTGCATGTCGAGCAGCACCCAGTAGGTAAGAGTGTTGGGGGATGGGCGGGGGGACAGATCAAGGCCCCCACAGTGAGGGAGGTAGAGGGGCAGGGGCTGGGGTGACTGGGCGCCTGGGGTGGGTGGTGTGATGGTAGGAGCCTGAGCGGCTCATCCAGGGGTATGTGGGGAGGGGGGTTCCCCATCATTGCACGAACCCCAGGGCAGGCATGTCCACCAGATCTGTGCGTGAGGCAGAGGTGGGCTGTCGCTGCGCACTGGGCTTTGCACCATGCTGCCGTTGCCTCGGGAGCCTCGCATGATGCCATGTGTCTTCTGCGCACTGGCTGCACTGCATCCCAGGCCACCCAGGGTGGCAGGCATATGGTGTCCTATGCGGCTCCGGAGGCAGTGGTAACAGTGCAGACCACAGCGGCAGCCCACTGCTCCCCAAGGGTTTTCTCCCCGCGGTCTGGCTGGCCCTGTCCCCATGGCAGGGCTGGCACAAAGGTGGCCTGGGCCTTTCCAGGGACATGGGGGGCTCCCCCCACTGGGTGCACCTCAGGGCAGGTATGGGGGGCACATGCCTCCTGGTCCAGTGCATGGGGGGCGGGGGGTGAGCACTGGGTCTGCACCACATGGCACTGCCTCTGGACCTGCACAGAACACCATCTGCCTGCTGCCGCCAGGTAGGCAGGGGCACTTGGCCAGTGTGCAGCAGGCAGATGGCATCCTGCACAGGTCCAGAGGCATCAGCAGCAGTGGGGGGGAGGGGCAAAGGGGCTGCGCCCATTCTAGGGCAGGCATGTGGAGAACATGCCCCCCAGATCCAGATGGAGGCAGGATGCGTGCTGGATGCTGGGCTCTGCACTGTGCTGCTGCCGTCGCTGTGTCCGGACATGCACGGCGCAACATCTGTCTGTTGTGCGCTGGCTGAGTGCCTCTGCCCACTCAGTGGCAGCAGGCAGATGGCATTCTGTGCAGGTCCGGGGG